GGGATCGAGATGGAGTTGAGGGGGAGGTGATAGCACTGAGCCCAAGAAGTGAAACATTTCCACTTCGCCAAGTGGAGACATTTTTCATCTTCCGGTTCTAATGGTGATATTGTCAGAGCTGATGGAAGAGTGTAAAGCATTGGTGCGGAGGGTGAGGGAACCCGTATTGGAAGCAGTCTCTTGGTGGAGATATAATCACTGTAGAAGTGGATGGGCCTGATGAAGGGGGTGATTCCGGATCTGGAAAGGTCTGGGTCCAGCTACGGTTCCGGATCTCCCTGGTGAGAGGCACTCTTTCCCAGTTATTGGTATTAGCACTGTGATCTTTCTCGGTGAGAGAGGGTCTTGTGTCATGTGGGGTGCCAGAGATGGTGGTACCAATGCATCAGTGTCCAGAACCTCTGGGTTCCATTGTTTGTGTGTTTTTCTCTCATGCCTGTGGGATCCAGAACATTCTCTGTCTCCTTGGGCCAAGTGGGTGGAAGGAGCATCCATCTTCTTTGATTTGGACAAAGACTTAGTCCCATGCTTATGGGAGTGCTTCCTTATCTCCCGACTACAGATGAAGAAACAGAGTTCTGATCCAGACCATGTGCGGTGGTGAGAAGGAACTAAAGACTCGGTCAGCCTGCCCCACCTTTTATTGACTTGGATGGAAGCACAGGACAAGTGAGTGCATATGCACGGACCAATGGACACTATTTTCAAATTTTCCAACTCCAGACGCATGGTGCATATGTGTAAACCTCGTGAATACAATAGGGACCATCACTTGAAGAAGAAGAATAACTTATACATGAAAACAAGTGACCATGATCACCACATGCCAGTGCAGAAGTCCAAATTCACACTGAATTAACTTTTGTAAAGTGTTATATTACAGTTATTACTACTACAAAAAGAAACAACAACATTCTATCACACTCTTCATGGTGACTTATTTTGGTCAGATGTTTATTCTACTTTTCCCTATCTGAATTTATTAGAATTGTTTGAATAACAGCCTCTAGAATCACACAATATATTGTAATGGATTTTAACACTGGGTTATTTTCAGTATTGAGAAAAATTATTTCTATATATTCTATTTACCATATTAAAACATGAAATGGAATTAGATATACAGTTTAAATAAAATAACAGCAAAAAGTGAAGACAGATTTTAGAAAATCTAGGCTGCTTCTGAGATTAGCCAAACCTTTTTAAAGTTTTCAAGCCGATGTTCAAGCAGTTACATTTATTTGAAAATTGTAAAACACGACAGTATTATTTGCATTAAAAAATTTCCCCTGCAGCTGTTGCCATTGTTAAATGAGCTATTCTTTATGATAAGCTAATTATTTACATCAACAAATCCCAAATTACAGTTTTGGTAGGTAAGAAAATAAGGAAATTATTTTCAACTATTATGATTTCTAACAATGCTGGAGAGCTTCGCCTCCATTTGTTCCCTTCATTTTACATAAAAGGTCAGAAGCAGCATAAAGAGACCCTAAAAGCCCTGAATCTGGCTCGGGAAGATGTCCCCTGGAGCACACTCTGAGGAACATAGCTGTAAACCTGCCTCCTTTGCAAGCTCCAGTGAAGGATGTATGCTGGGAGTTGCAGCACTCAGCACGGCAGAGATTTTGGGCAGTGCTGTAGCCTGTAGGGTAACTCAGACAGGCCCCTAGGGGTGTCTAAGTTATGCTGGAGAGCTGGTCAGTCCCTGGAGCAACCCAGGATCATAAGGGCACAAGACAGCTTAAAGCCACCATAATAATAAAGTAATAATATATGGAGATATACCTATCTCATAGAACTGGAAGGAACCTCGAAAGGTCATCATCGAGTCCAGCCCCCTGCCTTCACTAGCAGGACCAAGTACTGATTTTTGCCCCAGATCCCTAAGTGGCCCCCTCAAGGATTGAACTCACAATCCTGGGTTTAGCAGGCCAATGCTCAAACCACTGAGCTATCCCTCCCCCCACCATATGCCTCCACTCCCTCTGGGCTGTGAGTTCTGTGCTGAGCCTCTTAGCCCTGGTCTACACTAGGGGGCTAGGTCGAATTTAACTGTGTTAGGTCGATTTTAAAATGAATGCATCCACACAACCAACCCCATTTCATGGACTTAAAGGGCTTTTAAAATCGACTTCTGTATGCCTCCCTGGTGAGGGGAGTAGTGCTAAAATCGACCTTGCTGGGTCAAATTTGGGGGAGCTATCACAGAGTGCTCAATTGTGACCTCTCTGGACAGCACTTTGAACTCCGTTGCACTAGCCAGGTACACAGGAAAAACCCCGGGAACTTTTGAATTTGAACCTTGTTTGGTCAGCGTGGCGAATTCAGCAGCACAGGTTACCATGCAGTCCCCCCAGAATCGTAGACCGTAGAATGTTTCTACACTCCCCCTATCATCTCCATCCCTGAGGTTATCGCAGATTAGAAGGCGAAAAAAACCGCACTCTTGATGACATGTTTTCCGAGCTCATGCAATCCTCCTGCACAGCTTAATGCATGGAGTCATTCAGTGGCACAGGACAGGAAAGAATTAAGTGAGCGTGAAAAGCGGAGGCAGGACACGATGCTGAGGCTAATGGGGGAGTAAACGGACACGATGAAGCATCTGCTGGGGGAGCAAATGGACATGATGAAGCGTCTGCTGGAACTGCAGGAAAGCCAACAAGAGCACAGACCCCTGCTGCATCCACTGTATAACCGCCTCCCCTCCTCCCCATGTTCCATAGCCTTCTCACCCAGATGCCCAAGAATGTGGGGGGGAGGAGGGGGAGGTGCTGGGCACCCAGCCACTCCACTCCAGAGGATGGCCCAAGCAACAGAAGGCTGTCATTCAAACAGTTTGATTTTTAGTGTGGCTACAATAAGCAATGTGGCCTTGTCCTTCCCTCCTCCCCCACCCCAGCTACCTTGTCCGTTATCTCATTTTTTTTTTAATTAATAAAGAATGCATGGTTTCAAAACAATAGTTACTTTATTTCGAAGGGGGGAGGGTGGTTGGCTTACAGGGAATTAAAATCAACAAAGGGGGCGGGTTTGCATCAAGGAGAAACACACACAACAATCATGCCGAAGCCTGGCCAGTCATGAAACTGGTTTTCAAAGCCTCTCTGATGCGCAGCACGCCTTGCTGTGCTCTTCTAATCGCCCTGATGTATGGCTACTCAAAATTAGACGCCAGGAGATTTGCCTCAACCTCCCACCCCGCCATAAATGTCTCCCCCTTACTCTCAGATATTATGGAGCACACAGCAAGCAGCAATAACAATGGGAATGTTGGTTGCGCTGACGTGTGATCTAGTCAGCAAACAGCACCAGCGAGCTTTTAAATGTCCAAAGGCACATTCTACCACCATTCTGCACTTGGCTTAGTCTATAGCTGAACTGCTCCTTACTACTGACCAGGCTTCATGAGCCATGGGAGCAAGGGGTAGGCTGGGGTAGGTGCGACCGCGCGGTGCTGCCGGCTGGGAGAGCAGCCTGAGGCAGAAGCCTCCAGCTCCCATGATATTCCAGGCAGGACTGAATCTCCATGAGACGAACTTAAAGAAGAGAATGACCTGGAGTCTCTGGCTCCCATTCAGTGCTCTAAGAGGAGGACAGCCATGTCTGTCCAGGTGTCCCGATTGACCTCACTGAGGTCTGCCAGCAGCACCCAGAAGACGTACGGTGACGGTGAGCTGAGCGGGCTCCATGCTTGACGTGGTATGGCGTCTGCATAGGTAACCCAGGAAAAAAAGGCGCGAAACAGTTGTCTGCCGTTGCTTTCACGGAGGGAAGGAGGCCTGACGACATGTACCCCAAACCACCTGCGACAATGTTTAGGCCCATCAGGCATTGGGAGCTTAGCCCAGAATTCCAATGGGCAGTGGAGATTGCGGAAACTGTGGGATAGCTACCCACAGTGCACCACTCTCTAATTCGATGCTAGCCATGGTAGAGAAGACGCACTCCGCCGATTTAATGCGCTTAGTGTGGACATTCACAATCGACTGTATAAAATCGGTTTCTAAAAATCAACTTCTATAAAAAACTGACCTAATTTCGTAGTGTAGACATACCCTTAGACACATAGAATCTTAAAATGTCTTAAAAAATAGGCTGGGATTTTCAAAGAAGCTTAAGGGAGGTAGGCACTGAAATGGCAATGAAATTCAAGGTGCCTAACTACCTTAAGCTGTTTTGAAAAACCCTAACTTTAGCTATTACATTATTTAATGTAAATAATTCACACAGAACATCACTAAAATATGATTTGTAATTCAGGCTGGATCTATTTTAAAACCAGGTTTACATTATACTTGAATTTGACACAGTAGAGTTTAATTACATTTATTTAACAGGAGCCATATGGTTAAATCCTGCGCATTAAGAATTAGCGAATGTGTCAGATTAACATTTCGTAATTACACAGCATGGTACCAGATTGTGTTACTTGGCACAAAAATAAATAATAGTATTCTTACGCAGATTAGTTTCTGAAGAAATATATGCAAAAAATGCTTCCTGAATTATTCAGGGATCAAAGCCTTAGAAATCATCTTAGTGTGGAGCCCCAAGAAATATACGTTGTTGTTCAGAAAATGCAATTCTTTCTAGATAGTCAGGGATGGAGTAAAAAGTGGAAAAAGTTTTGTAATGTCCATCTCAACTGCGTAATGTATCCCAATAACAGAAACTGTACCAAATTTTGCTGATGTAAACTTGATTTAAGTATTTTAAAAAGTGATATTCTTACTATTTGAATCATATCCACATTATCATGATCCATATGTTTAGTTATATTTCATAACTGGGCAGTAATATCCCTGGTAGTAATAAATACTTCTGTAAAACTTTGACTGTAAATAGATTCAATCCTACAAGACTGTAGTATATTTTTCTTGAGAAGAAAAAGTAGGTGTTTGGCACAGGCATTCATTTAATTCCTTATGAAATACCGATTTAGCACAAATTTTGCAAACAATTATTTTTGTTTTATTAAGATACAAAGAACATACCTCTGATGGTGCCTGCACTGAGTTTATGTAATAAATAACAAACAATCGCATCTTGTCTTCTGGAGTTCCCGCTGTAGAGGAAAAACAAGGGTTTCTTTTTTCAAATCAAGTTATAAACTATGCTACTAAGTAGTGTACTATTCTGTATTACATATATTGAGCCCTTGGATCATAATAATTGTAATGAGTTTAGAAAAGGTTATACAACAAAAAATGTTTATGTTGTCTATAAAGTGATAAATACCCACTCAACAACTTCACTGAAAAACTGCCTTAGAGTAGCTCAAAACCTCTGAAGAGTAGTTATGTATAATAACTGTTTTGGCTTGGAGTAGTTCTACTGGGATAAACCGTGAAGTATCAAACTTCTGCAGTAGTAGAAGACAAAGTAAAAGTAATTATGATATGCTCTATGAGTTAATTCAGTTTTGCTACAAAGACCTAAAGTTTGACTGAAATGAAATCTTTACCCTCATAAGCTTCAGAAATTTACATGAGGCTTCAGCCAAAAAAAAAAAAAAAAAAAATCATCTTAATATCTCCCACACATTTACAGGGTTTTTTTCATTTTGTTGCCCACGGGAATTTCATACCATCTGGATCCCAACAATATCTAGAATTTCATAATTTCCTCTGTCCTTCTCGTTTACTCTGTTCTTCACCTCGCTTATTTAGGAGTCAAAATGTAAGTACAGGTGAGTCATCTTACACGCATTTAACATGCGCGAATTCAGCTTTGCGCGGTCGGCAAAAAACAAAAAAAACAAAAAGAGAGAAAAATAACAATTTAAATACTGTACCTGTAGTGCGGGCGATTCCGCCCGCCATTACACTCAATGTAATTTTGACTATACGTGATTTTCACTTTACGCGCTGACAGCGGAACGTAATCCCAGCGTAAGATGAGACTCGCCTGTACTCTGTCACTCCCATAAGTGTCTGTACACACGAGTGCACAGAACTTAATGTAAATGCATGAAACTTGGAAATGGAAATGCAACCAAAACAGAAGTGATCAGCAAAAACGAGGATGGCACACAAAGTTGTTTAAGTCTTTCCTAAAATTGAAATGTGTGTTTTAGGATGGAGGAAGGGAGGTGGCAGATACAAGTTCTGATTTTACTGATATCTCTAGAAAAAATAATACAAATTTCACATAGAATGGAAATGGTACCTGAAATATGACAGTAAGTCCTGCAGGTATCTGATATAAATAAACAATGCAAACGTCTGGCATATAGAAAACAATTGTCAATTCTTTAAAAAATAATGTACTGATGTTGTTGCAAAAACAGAGTAAACATAAGTAAAGTATCAGTGACACAAAGGAGAAAGTACAAAGTTAATACTTTAAACACTTGATTCCAGATATGTTTAGAAAAGCCCAACAACATATTTTATTGGACTACAGCAGGGGTAGTCAACCTATGGCACACATGCCAAAGGCGGCACGCAAGCTGATTTTCAGTGGCACTCACACTGCCCGGGTCCTGGCCACCGGTCTGGGGGGTCTCTGCATTTTAATTTGATTTAAAATGAAGCTTCTTAAGCATTTTAAAAACCTTATTTACTTTACATACATACATACAATAGTTTATTTATATATTATAGACTTATAGAAAGAGACCTTCTAAAAACATTAAAATGTATTACTGGCACGCAAAACCTTAAATTAGAGTGAATAAATGAAGACTCGGCATACCACTTCTGAAAGGTTGCCGACCCCTGGATTAGAGTAATGCTTTACCTTTCAGTTAAAGTAAGACTACTGAACAAGCGACATTTGGTATTGCTGATCACTGTCTATTTGGAAATTTACTGAAGCAGGTATCCTTGGCTAGACATTATTCAAGCCTCCCTACTTATGTCAAACACACACTATAAATATAGCCATTTTGCCCGTTTTACACACACACACACACACACACACACACACACACACACACACAGTCTCCAGCTCCTTTACTGCATATGTGGATATGCTAACAAAATGGATAATCTGTTAAATTGAAAAAAAACATTGTAGAATCAGATGAAGTTACTCAGACTTCTTTCCAAATGCCATAATAGCTTTAATAAGCAAAGTCAACGTAATGAGCAATACAATATGCTTTTAAAATAGGAAGTATGCTCAATGTAATTTTTATGCATGAGATTCAGACTTTGGCACATTTTAGAAGTAAAACAATTTTAAAAAAATGTAACAAATTTGTTGGTAGGTTAGCTACCAATTATGTATAAGTATGTGCCAATTCTGAAGACCGCTTCAGTTTTCTCTGGGGAAAATTATACAGAGTATGGAAGTTGACAATACAACACTGTCTGGATAAAACTTTTATGGATATGTTACCAACTACACTCAAATGCAAGTCTTTGAGAGGGAAAATAAATTATATACGGTACAAACTCCTTCCCACTACCTTGTCAGTCATCTGCATTTCATTTCAAGCTACCTGTAAGTTTGATGCACATTGGATTCAAGTCTTAGCATCAGCATCACCACTACATTCTTGTGCATCTATTCCAGGGGTCAGCAACATTTGGCACACGGCTCGCCAGGGTAAGCACCCTGGCGGGCCGGGCCAGTTTATTTACTTTCTGACGTGGCAGGTTCGGCCAATCGCGGCCCCCACTCGCCGCGGTTCGCCGTCCCGGGCCAATGGGGGCAGCGAGAAGCGGCGCGGGATGTGCTGGCCGCGGCTTCCCGATGCCCCCATTGGCCCGGGACAGCGAACCGCAGCCAGTGGGGACCGCGATCGGCCGAACCTGCCACATCAGCAGGTAAATAAACTGGCCTGGCCTGCCAGGGTGCTTACCCTGGCGAGCCGCGTGCCAAACGTTGCTGACCCCTGATCTATTCTCATTTCGAATCACACACCTAGCTTTCATTAGCATAAGTTATTTATGTGCAAAAATGTGATTGTGTCTGTTGTGGTACTGCTTAGGAGTCCCCATCACTGACCAGGACCCCATTGTGCTAGACACTATACAAACACACAGCAAAAAGACAGTCCCTGCTGCTGTCACAAGATGGTCTGGGGTCAAAATTGGGATATATATGCTATCTATCACTCCGCCGCAGTTAGGGAATCCCATTGCTGCAAAGCCATCCACTATTTCACACACATTACCAAGAGTCACAGTCCTTCGTAGCAGGATGCGATTAATGGCTCTGCACACTTGCGTTAAGCACAGCCCCAATGATGGACTTCCCGATTGCAAACTGATTTATGACTGACTGGATAGCAGTCAGGAGTTGCTAGCTCCCACATAGTGATTTCCATGTGCTTCTCCACCAAGAGGGGCAGCTCTCATTTGGTGTCCTTGCACCTCAGTTCTGGGGCGAGCTCCACACACAGTTCCTGGAAGGTGACTTTCCACATCCAAAAGTTCTGCAGCCACTGCTCGTCATCCCAGTCCTGCATAACGATGAATCATGGGACGCTGAGCACGCACCCACGATGCACTGCGATCCACTCCACCTTCCCACAACTCCTAGCTACAGAAGGTGGCGAGTAGCAGAATTGAATAGCTACCCACAGTGCACTGCTAGAGCACCAACTGTGGATGTGCTCTGCCAACATGCACGAGCGATATAATTATAGCGTTTTTTGATCATTGGTGCAACTTGCATTGACAAAACTGTAGTGTAGACAAGACCTCAGTCTCACTATCTTTCCCTGACCCAATGACTATTCATTGTCATTCATCCTGACAATTCATAATAATTCATGATGACACTAAATAAGCCAATGGGCCAGGACAGAGTGTGAGAATGCTTCTTTAGCCTGGTGTCTAGAGAATTCACCTTGGATTTGGGACATCGAGGTTCAAGTCCCTGCTTCAATGACTATTTATACAAAACAAAACAGCTTCAACAGGACAGACTGAGAAAGACTCACATCAGAATATCCCAGTGCCTAGGGCACAATCACAATGCGAGACACCACCTCCTCCTCCTACTGTTTTCTGAACCTAGTTTCATTTACATGTGTTAAAATGCCTAAAATCTAGAGAAAAAATGCCAGGTTTAACTAAACATTTAATTCAACCAGCTTCAAAATGTTTTCTGACTTTTCAATTCACCAAAAATTTCAAAACATTTGTTTTCCATTAGACCCAAAACAAAACTTAATGTTTTCAGAGTTGCCAGAAAACTGAAAAATCCATTATTTGCACAGTTTTACTTTACACCCCTTCTGCTCTGCCTCTGTTATTGTCAATCTCACTTTCACCTGCTGCTCCTTGCCCTCCTCAACAATCAGTACTGTACACAAGCTTCATAGCCCATAACTTTCACTTGCTTGCTATCACTGAAACTTTACTGTCTATCTCTCACTGTTTCAGAAGCTGCACTGTGGAGGTTCTACCCTCTCTCATTCTCCCATACTGTAAGCTGCAGTTGCCTGGTTTGGCTTTTCTTCTTGTCTACCATTTTCAGTACATCCCACTTCCTCCCTTCCTTGGAGGTCTATTCTAACAAAAAACTCTTCTCTCACCTCTCTCCTTGACAACATAATTAACAACTTTCTCCTGCTCTTGATTTCAATGTCAGGTTTAGCTCCTCCTCTGTAACACCATACCTTCTGCAACTTAATTATGGCTCCACCTCTCACCTTATTCTTAATCAAGGACTGGATGGGGGGAGGGATAGCTCAGTGGTTTGAGCACTGGCCTGCTAAACCCAGGGTTGTGAGCTCAATCCGTGAGGGAGCCACTTAGGGATCTGGGGCAAAATCAGTACTTGGTCCCGCTAGTGAAGGCAGGGGGCTGGACTCAATGACCTTTCGGGGTCCCTTCCAGCTCTATGAGATAGGTGGAACTCAATTGACCAGGCAGTTCATGGTGAAGACATCCTCTACTATTTTCCCCCAGCTCAGAGTTCCCTTCTCTCCAATCACCACCTAATCTCCCCATATTTTTCATTTTTCTAGTCATTTCCACCTGTGACCACCAATTTTCTGATTTTCTCAGCTTTCATTAGTCTTCCTTCTTTCTCCTCTTAACCCATCATCTGGGTTAGGTCATCATACAAACATCCGCCATCTTTGTCTGTTTGAGGTGGCACTAAGGTCCACCTGCTTACCATCTTTGATGCAATCCATTCATTGCTTCCTCGGCATTCCTCAGGGTCTCCTTCCTACCACCCTCTCTCCTGCCATGCTATCTTCCCCAAGTTCTCTTTATTCGTCCGCTTTATTCGCCTGAACCAGGGAAGTCATGCTTCTTGGATTTTGCCAGCCACATCATGAACTTTGACTTCCATCCTAATGCTTTCATTTCACAATCTGTCCCTTCGTGTATCTCTTTTCAAACACCTGTAGGCATTGAACCTGCCATTTCTTTATGGCCCAGGCTTCTGTACTATACAGTATAGAGGGGTAAAACTGTTTTATATAATTGGGCTTTCAGTTTCAGTGGCATATGCTTGTCATACACAACATCTGAGATGTTATTCCTCACTCTTCCAGCATTTGTCAGTCTAGACTGTATCTCACATTCAAGCTCACTGGTTTTCTGTTATCCAGCTGCTCAGGTGCTTGAACTGCTCAGCCTGGCTTAGTCATACTCCATTAATCTCTATATCCAGTTTCCCTGTGCACCTCTCCCGATCCAAATGACCTCAGTCTTAGTTGTACTCATTTTTATTCCATGCCTACTTAGCTGTTCATACCACTGCTTTACTATTTTCTCTATATCTTCTTTTGAGGATGCCCTCATTACTTTGTCATCTCCATGTAGCAGCTTCTCACCTTTTCTCATTGGAATCTTCCTCCTGACGAAGTTCATCAATATGAAAAACAGCAGCAGGTTTAGGGCCAACTCCTGGTGCAATCTGACTTTCACTTCAAAGGAGCTTGTTGTTTCAGAACATTTTTGCATCACTATATAGAGCATTCACTATAGTTATTAAATCCTCAGACACAACCTATTTTCTCAGTACAGTGTGAGCATCCTTCTGGCCACTTTAAATGTATGCCTTTTCTAGGTCTGTAAAAGCCCAGAAGCTATCCTGCTGGTGCTCTCGCCAATTCTTTATCACTTGCCAGATTACAAACATGGACTCTGTGGTTCCTCGTTCTTTTCTAAAGTCAAACTGTTCTTGCTGGAGGGATTCCACCATTCACCTAATCTTAGCATCTAACATGTATTCCATAATCTTCATCCTGTATGACAGTAACTTTATCCCTCAATAGTTTCCGCTTCCATGGATGCTTCCCTTCTTATGTATTAGGGCCAAAATAGGCTTGTGATTGATCTTTGGGAATTCTTTTGTCTCTCCATACAGCTTTAACCACTATGGTCATCCATTTTATTCCTCTCTTGCCCAGGACTTTCACCAGACCCACTGTCACTTAATCACATCCAGCTGCTGTAACAGTCTTCGTAATCTGGTCATTTTTTTTACAAATAGTGTTGCAATAGCATCATCCTTTCCTTCGCATCTCTTTGCAATGCTATCCATCTTTTTGCCAGTTACAGGTCATTTACAAGGTAGCTGCACAGGTTATCTAGAGCATTCTCTTTGACCTCCTTCACTTCTTGCTTGGCAGCTCACTTTGCTTCTTTATATTCACTTTCATTTACACTCGATGGATTTATTTCTTTTTCTTTACATGCCATTTTCTTGTTTTGGATTGTCACCTGCACTTCAGTCCACCATCATTCCTCTGTTTTCCCCATCTGTACTGTCCACGAGCCTCTTCCACTGCCACAAACCAGCTTTCCTCTTCAACAGATACCAAATTTATTTCCCAATATTTATCCTGTATTGCTTGCATGAGCTTCTTTGCTGCTCTTTTCCCTTAACAAGCCCTACTTTAATCTTGTTTCTTTCACGAACAGAAATTGGTCTCATAAAAGATATTACCTCAGTCACCTTGTCTCTCCAATATCCTGGGATGGACATAGCTATAACAACACTGAATACTTTAATCCTGTTTCTTTTGAGCTTAGTTCCTTCCTTACCAGGTGCTGAACTGCAATCTTTGCCACAAGAGGCTTGTGCGGATTTCTCACAAGTTATCACTTTGCAGTCTATAACTCAACTCCCCTGAGATTTCCTCACTAACCTCTTATCAATCTGGCTTTTGTTTGCACCACTGATGTACATAACCAAATGACTCATCCCCTTTTGGAACCATATATTGATTATCATCCATTGGTTGGCAATATAGACATCTAGTAGCACTTCTCCTTCCTCATTCATAGTGCCTAAGTTGCATTTTCCTAAACATATTTCATTTTTTTGGCTGTGCAGGACATGGCTTTTTGCCTCACTTTGCTCTAACCACTAGTCTCCAACCCTTTATAGGACAGTTCAGATGTCAGCTGCCAGGCTTGATGGAGGCAAACTTTTGGCATAGGAGTGAGATGTCCTCCCACTGTTAGCAGTAGTGGCTGGCAGGCATACAGGCCAGACTCACCCCCCACTTATCAGTATCTACTACTCCCCTTAGACAACTTGCCAAAAAGAAAAAAAACTGCTTGCACTGTCAGAGTCACCTTGCACCAGACCCCTATAGTATATCGGTTAGCATCCCTGACATAGAGTGCAGTATAATAAGACCTTTTCCCAGTTGAACTTAGGGCTTGACTATGCTACAAAGTTAAGTCGACATAAGGCAGTTTATGTCGACCTAACTATGGAGGTGTACACAGTGCAAAGCTCCTCCCACTGGTTTAACTCTCCTGCTACGCCAACATAATAAAATCACCTTGACGAGGCATAGAACTTAGGGTGACAGTTAGAAAGACACAGCATCAGTGTAAACCCTGCATTGCTTACGTTGCCCTAAGTAACCTCCAGGAGGTATCCCACAATGCCCACCGTGACCGCTCTGGTCACTGTTTTGAACTCTGCTGCACTCCAGCCAGGTACCCAGGCATGCACTCCTTCCCTCTTAAAGCCCCAGGAAGTTTTGAAATTGCTCTGTTTGCTCAGTGTGGAGAGCTCACATAGCAACCGCCCAGCCGAGCATGCCAGCTCCCTGCAGCAAACGCGCTCCTGCCTGGAGTACATGGGAGGTGCTGGATCTCCTGGGTCTGTGGCTAGAAATCACAGTAGGGAGGCAGGGGGAGAGAATCACAAGGACTTCCCTACATCCCACCTACCATTCCATGTATCTTCCGGGGCCGCAGCAGTACCCAAGGCACTCCACCCCACAGGAGATTAAATACAACGACAGCCGCATGTACACTCAGCTGAGAGAGCTTTGTTGGTATACATGCTTGTGAATTCCCTGTTCCATCTCCTTTAAAGATACTCTCCCCTGCATGTATGATGTTTACCTCAGCATTATATAGATATGTTTGCATGGATGTGGAATAAAAATCTACTTACAGAAACTGAATTTATCTTTATTATTCATCATCACATGGTGACTGCTGCTAACATTCAAGACAATAGTAATAGGCGTATGTGCATTGTTACAGTTGGGCACATACAGCAATGGTTACAAGGTTCATAGCATGGTGCAAACAAGCAATGCCAGGCTCAGCACACTACTGTAAGACATATTACTGTGACTCATTGTTAAAATACTCCTTCAAGGCCTCCCTCAGCTGAATAGCTCCTCCATTGAGCTCCTCTTATAGACTTGTGTTCATAAGGCACAGTACAATACTGAAGAGCAATTGAGGATCCGTGCTTTCTGACAGAGATGGTTGGTTTGCAGGTTACCAGTTGAAAGTCATCTGGAAACCTAGTAGGATGTCCATGGAATGATGGGCTTGAGAAACCTGCATCATGTGATGCTGAACCTGCCCCTATGAGACATTGCAAGCCCTTCGCAAAACATTCTCCTAACTACTCTCTAACCAAGCTTCTCTCTTAACCTCTCCATCCTTCATGTCCCAATATAGTGCCTTCTTTCATGCCCCAAATATGCTTTGAACAAACTCCAAATTAAAGTATTATAAGCACAGTTTTATTCACTTCAAAAGCTGTTTAAACACCTATTTTGCAAAACATATTTTATGTTGTACTGCTTTTTAGCAAGGTAAGCTCTTTTGAGATTTTGTAGCACACTTCGTTATTTCCAGTGTCATATATACTGAGAAGATAATGTAATCATAAATATTAATTGTGCGTAAAATTCAAAGTCGAAATATTTACTTGACCAAATAAGCTTTGACCCGTGGTAACTACCTTTATGAGACTATTTTACAGATTATATATTGATAAATACTTATGTTCACAGCTATCAATAGTGATATATTCATGTTCAGTCATGAATAAATTGTTACTATTTCCAGTCTTTACCTAGCATAACTTTCTGTAAAGCTTTTGCACAGACCTCTACCAGTCAGCTACTGACTTATTTTTCTTGCATGGCTTTCTGCCTTTTCTCTTCATTTAGTACATAACAGATTAGAACTGTGTGAGAAAAAAAAAAAAAAAACTATTCCACTATGTAGCCCCATATTAAGAGAAATGACTGAAGCACAAGGTGGTTAAAATATGTGTCTTAGTACTGCCACTTGACAAGCTCTTTTGGTTTTAGAGTCAGAAAAGGTTTTGTAGGAAAGGCAAAATTCCAGTCATGATTTTGGATTTATTTAGTCTAAAGAGTGAATTCCCTAGCTGTTTTAAAAACCTCTTCTCATTACAAGTCTAGTGTACTGTATATGCACTCCACTAATCTGACTGATCATCAAGTGAGATGGAAAATTACAGAGTCAATGGGCCCCTACTTGATTCACCATCAAAAACAGAGAAACTTGGTTTATACCAAGTTCAGATTTTCAGTACTTACCATCAGGGTCAGAAATCATGTCCAAGAGAGATTTATCGAGAGTGGACTTGCTCATTATTTTTTCCTCATACTCAAAATACACATCCAGTTTCCGTGCCTGTTTTAAAATAAATGTTAAAATTAAAATGATTACATTGTGAAAATATACCTCCCTATTTTAACACGTAGAGAGATTAGTTGATCACAGCTACTTTCAAATTATTCACTTTTCCTACTTAGTGAAGGGAAAAAAATTAAATCACTCAGCATGAGAATCACTCAGTTTTTCATTATGATCTAAACACAAAAATACTTCCGGGACATCTTAGTGCAGAAAGTGAATCAATCCTCCCAATAATTTTGTTCAATATATCAGTATTGCTCCTCTGAATCAATATATTAGGGTGCAGCACAAAAAAAATCTTAAAACTAAACAAATGACCAAAATATAATGGTTTGGGCAAAGGCCAGACAGAAACTGTTTTGAGCTGGACAATAGGCAACATTGTATCGTTATGTATGGTGCTTTATCACAATCGCCCAAGCAGACACATCAGAATGTTGCAATATATTGTTGTGAAAGATTAGGTTAAATCTACAGCATATTTTAATAAGTGTCAACAAAGCAATTAGCTAATGTGCTATCCAGATAAACATAGCAGGTCCCCAGACATAGGAAGACATGATTCCAGAGAAAATGTCTGCAGTCTTCCATCCAAATGATGAAGGCTAGCATTAAGTTCACTACGTCATCTGACAATATAGCAGGAATCCATTAATATTAAGGAAGAAGACTTTGGAATAAGGTCATTTGGCTTAAGTTGGAAAAGATGTCTCTATTTCAACACCAAGTTCTACATAATCATTAGGCCAAATTCTGGCAATCCTTTATTAGGGGAAACTAGGCATCCATCACTTGCACTGAGCAAGGCTGGTGTCCTCTGGATAAAATGGTATGTTATGAGATCACGTAATTAAAGACAGTATCATAATGCCTATGCACAAGAGGGCCAAGTTAAGGATGAATAGGCAACCATACAACCAGCATTTTCTATCTTTCAAGTGCTTGATTTTGTAACCTAAGTAATGTAATCAGGAATCCCAAATCCAGCAGTAGTGGCTGGGTATCTCTGACTACCTAAGTAGGGTTAGAGCTGATGCCTACTTGGATAGGAAACCTATCTTGCTACTGCAAGAAGTCAGATGTAAGAAGTCAGAAGCAAGATGCGCAGATGAGCCTTTTTTTTTTTTTTTTTGCCAGAAGCTGGGAAGGGCAACAGGGGATGGATCAGTTGATGATTACCTGTTCTATTCATTCCTTCTGGGGCACCTGGCATTGGCCACTGTCGGAAGACAGGATACTGGGCTAGATGGACCTTTGGTCTGACCCAGTATGGCCGTTCTTATGCTTTGAATGTAATTTTCGAATTATTTTAGGAAAGAAAAACGTAAAATATTCTATTATGTGCAACAAACCCTCATGTGTCATCAAAGTTTACAACCTTTAGCTCTGCAACAGACTGCTACCACTTGAGTTACAAGACTAAATACATTGGCTGGCAACAGGAAAAAGGTGTTATCCCAGAGAAGGGATGGACTGCTGAGTCCAGGTGCTGTTCTAGGGTGGCTGGTGTTGGGGGAGCCCAGCCAGGTAGATGCAGGATGTGTGTGTGCGCACACATGGGAGAAACTTTATCACTCTCCTCGCCCTCCTGCCTTGGGAGAGCTCCTATCCTATAGATACCACATGGGACTGCAGAGCACTTATGGGGGAGGCTGGCCCAGTTTTTTCTTCACGTGGGTATAGGTCACTGGAATCATGTGCTGGCACCTTCCAGGCACTCCAAGTACAGTAACTGCTACTGCTGCTTTGATGGTGGCAGCATGAACCCAACCTTAGGAAGTCAGTGTTGACTTATTTTGGCATACTGCCAAAACTTTCATGAAAACTGCAAATGAGAAAAAGGAAAAGGTGACTTCTTGTAGTTTGCATCTCAGTGAAGCTGAACTAAACTTCATAGTACAAAAAGGCACTTCTCGTCCCAGGGCATTTCCCTTGCTGAATATCAAAGATTTGCTGCAAACAACAGGTATGAGAACTACCCAAAAGAAAAGGCTGCAAGAATCCTTTATAATGGAAAGTGTCAGGCAACCTAAATACAGGGAATGTTACCAGCTCCCTCCATAATATACAAGCACTAGCAATAATCCCCACTAGCTTCCACCAAGACTTCATTTATTTGGGGAAAAACAACTATTTCCAGAACAGCAAGCCCAATTAAAGTTCCTGTGCAGGTGAGTTTCCACAGTTATTGGAAATATCGATTTCTGTAAAAATCAATCTCTGACCATGGTTATGTCCAACTATATCCACTTGTTCTCAAGGCTTTAAGCTGTGGCCCTCGAGGGCAACTGTTCTAAGAAAATGGGTATCTGACTACAAATTGAAAATGTATCTTCTGAGCCATGCTGTGTATTTTTAAAATGGAAGTGTTTGAATCAGACCCATCACTACAGAGAGGAGGTAGGCTGCACCATCTTCTGCCACTTTTCTCTGCAGCCCGAGGAGTAGTTCTAGTATGAACTGGGAGTTTTCTGAAGAGCAGCTGTCTCTTCCCTGATGAAGCTGCTCAGCAGCTCCCCTGCTGGCTGCCTGCTCCATTGCAAGGCAGGGAGGAGAAAGCAGCTCTGGTTTCTCCTTTGTCTGCTTTCCTGTGGGCCGGTAGGAACCTGAGGAAGAGTAGGACAGGTGCTCAGCTTTGCCTCAGCCTATGGAAGCACCACCTAACAAAGGATGTCTCCCTTCCCTCCCACAGTCTCATACAGCAGCCCATAAGAAGAGGAAAAAAAGAGAAGCTGAGAACCTAACAACCAGTTAAAGCTCCCAGACTCTTGCCCTGGCCCAGGTTAGGGGGTGCTCGAATTTGCACCAAATAGTAATGGTTTCCTAAGGAACTATATGACAACTAGGGCTAGCTAGAGTGCAGCATGCTCCACGCACTGTCCCCCTCTCTGCATCCAGAGCAAAAAGCACACAGAAGGAAAATTTCTGTAAATTCATGCACATAAATCCTGAGGCAAATTTTGCCCTCAGTTATATCCCTGCAAATCTGAGATAATTCCAGTGAAGTTATTGTCAATTACTCAAGATTAACTCTAGTGTAATGGAGCAGAATTTGATTGCTGGCTTTTAACCTCTTGATCCTTATTGCAGTTTCAACCTAATATCCTAAATGAAAAATGTGTTGAGTCAGAACACACAAATATAATTTAAGAAATCATAGAAATACAATTCTACATCATCCCATCATACTCCTTGATAGTCTCCCATGAAATCCTCCAATTTATGTGGAGACATGAAACAAACAACTATCTTAAATATTTGCAGCTTTTCTAGTCTACCCTGTATGTTCACTTTCTCGCCTTATGTTTGACTACATTTACATTTCTTTCTGCGGCATCTAAATTCTACACAACTTTAAAAATGCAATTTCCCCCCACCAACAAAAGGTGTCTAGCAAGCAGAAGAATTGTCAATAAGATGTAAAACCTTTATCTAATTAAAAAAATGCTTTAGCGTTGAATTTGGCATCAAGAATAATGTTAGTTGGCATCCCAACTGAGACTAATTTGTATCACTGTAGCATGTCAAAAATGAACAGAATAATCCATTAAGAGCATTTGGTTGATGCTCAACTTTACTTTTTTTTTTTATAAAATGATATTCATCGTTTGAAGGATCAGATGGCATATACAGGCACACTTATCAATCATAAAAATATGGTCACAGTTCTCAACTCATTTTAAACACACACTGAACACAAGTTCTTCTTTCAATCCATGAGTAGTTTTAAACTGTTTGGTAAGGTGACTGATCAAAACAGGTTACTACAACAAAGCAAACCCACTAGTCAGTGACTTTAATGTACCTTTTAGACTCCAAAAATGTAACATCAACAGCAATGGTAAAGGGACATATACTCCCTTCAAAAGCTTCAACCAAGGACTTTTTAAATGTGAATTTGATGCTAATGAAAGAAGCCAGATTGAAACCCTGGTGAAGGAAGTTCTTGATTGATCCACACAACAGGTCTATAGCCTGAGTAGCAGCACTGCAAACTTCCCTACACTCTGTCAACTTCCGGCCAATATGTCCCAAGTGTGAACCTAGAAGGGGGTCAAAACTCTAGGGATGAGAGAGTAGTTAAATCTCCATGCATACTCAACGGTTGGCCTGTCAAGACTGCCGTTACAAGGGTGTCAAGTACTGTAGTGCTTTTTGGGATGCTGATGCTTGTTCACTTGGAACTGGAATGAAACCAAATTAAATTTTATAAGCTTCTGGATAACTATAGATGCTACTAACTACCCTGTGACATATGTTGTAGATATGCCATATCAATCGCTCAAGACATCCACTTCTCCATGAACTGACAGTTCTCAAAAGTGCTGATATAAAGCAGATAGTGCTTACTTCATTTAAGCATAACAGCTGCTCTTTCGTCTGGATGCACGCACACACATTAGAGGGCATGACTAATCTTCTGGACTCTGATAACAGGCAGAGAGAAAGGAGAGATCCTAATGTGCAGTGGGACTGACAGTCAGGATGAGGCAACAAATGACTGGCCAGGGCCCTCTGGTAACTTAAAATTATGGATTTTAGCTTTCTGATGTATTTAATTATTGTAATTTATATGCTATCATTGATAACATAATTTTAAATTTTGTTTTCCTTTTGTCTTCCTGGGAGAGGCCTGGAACCTGGTTCCATGTTAGTATGGCAGAAGCCATGCTACTCGGATATCACTCTGAGTTGCCATTTACGCAGCGGTCTTAAATTATGACTCCAAGAAAACATCTTTGGTTGTTTTACCAAGTGGTGGTGCAACTCTACTCAAACAAGACATTTTTCGCTTTACGTTTATCGTCTCTGCATACAGCACTGTCTATATTTTTAGTGGAAACTTTCCCAGTGTATACTTAAGCTATTTTTTTTTTTTATTTCCAATAGAAGGCGTTTAGATATTATTCCAAACAGCAAGCTGTGGAATAAGAAGTTTCACTTTTGTTACTTATTCATTCTTTAGGGTATATTTATAATGGTATTTGTTTTTT